CAAGCGCCGTGCTCTACCAGCTGAGCTACATGAAACAGTGATAAATATTTCCAGCCAACTTCGCACAGACAGGGTATTTCCTAAAAGCAGAGCAGGCAGCTAGTCCGGCCATTATAAAATGACAGTGATGGGCTTGGTTCTTCTATAGAAACCACAGCAGCAAACATGCAGCGATCCAGGCTTTAATAACGGACAGAAACCTCAATATATCACCAGTCATTATGGAACGCCATGAAGTTAAACAGTCAAGCCTTATTGCCTAATCACGTGTGTAATATTAAAACTCAAATAGAACAATAATCCAGCTGGAAAATGCTTACAGTTCGAGCAGGACAGAGCAAACCAAGCCAAACTGAGCTAGAACAGATGATTGTATGTGTTTTCACAAAACCATCCCATTCAAAACAGGCATGGGCATGGAAAAAACGTTGTCTAAAATCCATAACAGTGTGCTTTGCATGTTGGCCTCATTGAACCACATCTGAATCCCTAGACACTGTGTGCATTGAAGGGAGACTAATAAACTGCCTGTAACTTCCTCTACTTTACCCCTCCTTGGACAACCACAGGACTGGTCATAAAACTGAAGGTCTAGGATGGCCGACCCTGGTCATTAGCACCATACAGCAGCTCACAGCCTGTTAAACCCCAGGCCACACAGCTGGAGACACCTCCTGTCTGTGGAGCATGAGGGGGCCTATAGTCTTAACAGTCTCAGGCTAGGGCCTTGGCTTGCTCCTCCTCACTAGCTAGAGTGAGCAGACTATACAACAACCCATAGACAGTTTTATTTCTATGCAACAGCCTCTGTTTATTTAGTTTATGACTTTAACTGCTCCTTCCATTCCTCTGGTGGACACAGTATAAAACCGTAGCAAAATGTTAATATTTTTTAGATGAGTGGAACTGAAACACTGGCACTGAAATGCACGCCTGTTTTTCCCCACAGTGCCAACTGGGTCGTGTTCATTAGCCACGAAACTGAAGAAAAGTGGTATAAGAAACACTTGCTGTCGTTTCTGTGTGCCCTAATGAACAGGACCCTCGACCCTGCATGGCTAAGCTGTGATCTGCCCATCAGTCTTGTTCCTACTGATGGTTTTAGGGTGTTTAAGTCTCTAATGAGGATCAACTAGAGGAGATGAGGGAGAGGAGGGGTTAGGAGGATTTTGAGGGAGAGGGGAGCAGAAGATGGAATCAGAGAGGAGAGGAGGATGCTTAAGGCTCACACACACATCGCACCGAATGTGGATCTAGCGTTCATCTGCCGATCATTCAGTACGCTGTTTTAGGGACCACCCGCTGTAGATGTCTGACTGCCAACATTTTTCACATGATTCTACTACTAAAATCGGTGCGTACTCGGTTTGCAAATTACATTCAGGAGGTGCTCAGTACTCTAGGAGGTGCTCAGTACTCTAGGCCAGCAAACGTTACTGGAGTGTCTGAGCCCTTAGGGTTCGGAGGGGAGCAGAAGAGGGGAGAAGAGTGGAGAAGAGAGGTTAGAAGGAAAGGACCAGAGGACCTCCCTGTGTTACTTAATTAAAGCCTAACACTGATCCCCTTTAGGCTAGCCTAACCAATCAGACAGCCTAAATGGCCCCAGCCCCGGGGGATCAGCTTCCAAACCCACAAACAATAATGAAAAATGGGAAACAGGAACCATTTCTGGCATGAATAAAAAAAGAGCATTGGTTTGGAAAGAGCAAAGTTTATGAATGAACACATTGCTATTGTATGTCATTATTTTTTTAAATATTGATTATATTGGATGTGGGCGGGTTCTTCCCTGAATAATTTGAGTTGTGGGAAACATAGGAAATATAGTAGTTTTGGGATTACATTATGTCAGCTCTATAAATGTTATAACCCTTTAAGTGAGCATCAATCCATTGAGGAGTGAGTCAGGGTAATCCTTTAGACAGTAGGATCAAACCATGCATGGATGAATTAACTAACGGCTTCTTATCATTCATATAGTCACGATTATAAAATCACGATTATACATCAGGATGTGTGTCCGTAGCGAAAACCGTTAAATAGTAAACTCCTTTTTGTTAACATTTTGGAGTGTTTAGTTTTGTATGAAAACACTATGTGTGTGTGTGTGTGTGTGTGTGTGTGTGTGTGTGTGTGTGTGTGTGTGTGTGTGTGTGTGTGTGTGCGTGTTCTTTTTGCACACTGTAAATACCCAAAGCGGCAATGGGTCGTAGGCCTAAAAGACCACTTGGCTAAGCAGACCTGAATGTTCGGAGATCTTGCTAAGATAAACATTTACTTATCTTTCATTTAAATCAGGTTGTTTTACTGCTCGGGTGACCTTTGAAAGCACAGTTTAGTGTGGTAAAATAAACAGGGTTTTCTGAAGGAGCGGCTCATTCATCTATTGAAACTAACTAGTCAAAACTGCATCCCAAATGGGACCCTAATCTCTATAAAGTGTACTAATTTTGACCGGGGCAAATGTAGTGTGCGATATAGGGAATAGGGTGCCATTTGGGACGACCACACAATGACGCTTTCCTCTCTACCAAGATGTCTACAAGCTGCATTAATACCCACTGCCTATCCCGTCCTGTTGGGCTGATCCAACTCTCCACTTAGTCATATAGCAAGCCCACACTGTTGTCTTTTGTCACTCGTAGATCTGATAATGGTAATCGAGGGAAATGGCTGTAGATTAAAATCAACACCATCCCAAATAGTGGCTTAAGTACTACTTGGCCTTATTCATAAAGCATCTTTGAGTAGGAATATGATGTGCTTTTCCTCATGCAGTATCAACATCATATTTCTATCACATAGCTTGCATAACTTAAGTTATATAGAAAGATCATTAACTCAAGGTCAAACCTCCCGGTCTGCAAACTCCATGGCCTGCAGTGATACATATTTGTCTGCTCTGTTTTGAATACCAGCTAAGCTAAGGCAAATACACGTTAATGTTCTACTCAAATCGGTTTTCCCACCACAGATTACCATCTCCAGCTGCCTTTGGGGATGTTTTTTTTTACTTCATAAAATACAAGCATGTTGATCATTCACATCATCCTTCTGTGACTGCATTGTCTCTGCCTCTGAAAATTGTGATTTGAACTTAAGATCGCATCTAAGGAAGCAAAATGGTGGAGCATCCGATGAAGTCATATTGTTTGTGAATCATGATCCTCAATTACTTCCAAAATTGTCATACAGAATCTCAAGTAACACTGAGCTGTAGCAGTGACTGACTTCTCCAGTCATGTTCAGCCCTGAATATGGTATTTCCTCATAGTTTTCAGTCGTGGTGAGACAGAGTGACAGACAGGTTTAACATGTGGCAGTGGTCTGGACTCAGTAGTCTCATGTTACACAGAGCTGGTGGTCAGTCAGCAAAACAAAGACAAAACGACAAGTCCAGATGGCCTGACAGGGACAAGAAGATTAAGATGTTATGGAGCGTTTGGTTTGGGCCATGACAGACAGCCACTTCAGGACCACTCTGAGAAGGCCCCCAATTAAAGAGGAACTAATCCTTTATGCTGAAACCCAACTAAGGGTTGTGTCCCAAATGGCACCCTATTCCCTACATAGTGTACTACTTTTGACCAGGACCCATGGGGCTCTACATTGGGAATAGAGCACAATTTGTGACGCATCCTAGGAGTGCAGTGGTTCTGTTGCTTTGTTCAGCTGTGTTTACCGTATGTATTCCTGTTGGCTAACGGTTTAGCATCAGGTGAGATTTGTTGGTTTACATTCATCCACTTCTAATGTTATAACTCTTGACTATGAACAAGAAACTATGTCTGACTAGCAAGTGATATAGAAGTTACAGTTCATTCAGAAACGTTGAGTCAGCGTTTAACATGCATGTCGTGTCACCTGGATCTGCCCCTAGCAGATACGGATAACCATCTAAGCCTAGATTGGCATCTTTCAACATAACCTGTCTATCTGAAAGGATTTAAGAGAGCTGAAAACTCACTGAGTAGCAACCTTGAATGTAGAATGTACTGTAGGAAAGGATCAGACATGGCACTGGCAGATACTGATTGTACGTATAATGACAGACCGAACTTTAAACCGAAGATCAGTGTAAACTGTAACAGGTTGGTGTGTGTGTGTGCGTCTGCATCTGGCAACTGCTACTTAAGCTGTAATGTTTACTAAGAGGAATGAAGCGTTGACTGTCCAACTCCTCTTAACTGTTCAATGGGCCCTATAATGACCTGCAATGGTGCATTGTCTCAAGCTGAGCCCGGAGCCCCATGGGCCTATAAATCCATGGCCTTGGTTATCACTTTCTCCCCATCTGAGAGCTCTGTTTCTGTGCCATGATGGGCAAAACAGATGCCCTGGATCAGCCCAGGCCCTTGCATAGCTCCAAATCCAAGAGCAATAAGGGCCCTGGGCACTGAAGGCTGATATCAGCATTAGAGAGGAAAGGGATATATTTGTTCACTGGAGCACTTCCATTAAACAAGACTGATAACGCTGGTGGAAGAGAAACTGCAGGCGAGAGAAAGACAGTGAACAGAACAGCAGTGGGTCTGGAGACAGAGAGAGAATGGAAAACATCCTTTAAGGAAGGAGCTTGCCAAAATAAACAGCTGGACACATCTGTCCTGTTTGACTGTCCTGCTGTCTGCTGAGTCACCGCATGTGAAGAGAAAGAGGGGGTTCTGGAACAGGAGCAGGCCCTTTGAAGTGTAAGCTCTAGTGTAAATAAAATATCCTTTCCATTTGTCTGGCTGTCTTTCTGTCTGTGAGGAGCCCGTCAGTACTGGGACAGCTAAGGTGCCTCCCCCTCTCTCTCTCATTTCTCTCCCCCGTCTCTCCCCCACTCCCTCCCTCTATTTTGCCCTCCCCCTTTCCCTCCCCCCTCTCTTAGAGAGCCGTGTAGTGTCTGCTCCAGGCCAGGGAGACGGCAGAGGCAGGCAGGCAAGCAAGCTAATTGACGAGTGCTGGCCTTTGTTTTACCGTGTCAGAGCAGCAGGACCAGCAGGGCCCCTACTTTATTTTACTATGGCAGAGCTGTGCAGCAGGGCCTCTGGGCTGGCTCTGGCACCGCTGTGGAAGGACAGGCAGATGGCCACCCGCTGGAGGGTTTCTGAGAGGAGAGGCCCCCCACTACTCAACTGTCTGTACCCCAAAATAAGGTCTAATGTGTGGGACAGCAGCACAGCATGTCCTCCATCTCATTAATGGTTCATTTGGTTGAACTTTAGTTAAACCATACTGGTCCCTGGAAATCACAAAGGGAACAGTAAACTGTGAACAGTGAACTCAAAGGAGGCAAAACAAAAACCTCTCCGCCAACCTACTGGCCGAGATGTGCACTGTCTGCTGGGCTCAAATGTTTCTGATTGTGTGCGCTAATCAATACTGTTCACTTGTGTGTTTGACATTTTGCCTGAAACATCAGGCATTTATAAACAGGGTGCCTTTGTTGCCTGTGGCCTCAACTTGGACAAAAAGACGCATCCTACACAACAACATGCCAGCAGTGGGGTGGAGGTAGATGGCTCTACACAACGATAGGGTGGAGGAAGGACCTAGGCCAGGCACTCACATGTGTGGGCTGAGCTCATAGAAGTTCCTGTTGCGATACTCCTCCACCTTCTGTGGTGTGTAGATGGGCAGAGACCTGTAGGGGTTAATGGAGATCACCACACTGCCAATGTACGTCTGCAGAGAGAGGGAACAAGATACCAGGGTATGATTATTAGACATTAGATATCACTCCACTGCCTAGGTAAGTCTGCAGAGAGACAGCGATAGAGAGTAGAGTGAGAGACATCAGGGTGTGATGGATTGACTAGTGTTCAGAGAATTTCTCTAAGGTAGGGCATACTGCTGTGATGTCTGAAAGTGATAACATGCTCAGCTCTGCTCTGCTCTCAGGGAAGCACTGAGGTGAGAGGAGTTTCATTTTTGCATCCTCAGCTCTTCCCAGCTATCCTGCTGCATTGTTCAGGCATGCGGGAGGCAGAGATGAGTGGAAAGAGCATCGGCACGGGAGACGTAAAAACAAAGGAAAAATTTGTGGAATCCTGGGATGCGGAGCGGCGGCAGGAGAACAACACTTCTGTTGAGAGAACAACACTTCTCCCCGTGGGTGTCACAGGGGAGTCTGGTAGATAGAGGAATCTAGGAGTGGAGGGTGGTGGGCACGAGGAGAGGGGATGAGACTACATCTCCAATAGTGATGACTGATATCAAAGACACTGCACTCAAGTCATTGAAACTGAGATTTGGTAACAAAGAAAATGGGTCAGCTTGGCGCAGCCGGGTCAATCTCTATGTACAGTACATCTTATTTCTGTAAATTATGCTTGAGAAAAACATTATGTACTTTGTAATTGCTGCTTAGAGTATGTTAAGAAAATTATACATAATAATTTCACATTTGGCATCTTTCCTGGGCTCCATTTATTACTGCAGAGTGTGACGACAGGCTGTAATTTCTGAAAGAGCTCCAAGTAATCAGTCAAACTGTAAACCTTACATTGAGATAGAAGAGGACCGCACTGCATTTTCAGGTGGTTCTAAACAACTCCTGATCCTCTCCACTCTCTCTGTTATAATGAAGTTATATAACCCACTCAGAACAGGAGAGCCAGACCTTTTCCATGGCAACACCACGTCCCACTGCCTATTGTCAGAAAGTCCATAGGAGGCAAAATCGACTCTTTGGAGAAGCCGAGGCGAGGACGGACAAGATATTGGAGTGTGCAGAATAAAAGCAAACACTGGGTTGGTAGGGTCACTGCTAGACGGCCATCAGATGTGTACAGGACCATTAAGTGTCTCTCTCTCTCTCTCTGCATGTACACTCCCTTCTCCCCCTGAATACCTCAGATAATTGTGCTACAATGGGACTGGAGGGATATACAGTAGAGATCATTATCAGGACTTAAGAGAAGAGAATGCTTAGTGTAAAAAATGATATCCATATAATGAATGAGGGACCAATGGTGTTTTATGGCAAAGAAAACAGGGGCTTTCCAACCACATGGACCATTGATCCTAACTGAACGCCAGAGTCAATAATAATAGTAACCAGATCACTGTTTGTCCCATTATATCAGTGTGTAGTCGTGATCGCCCATATAAAAAAAAGGGCCATTTCAAAGCTAGTTCTTTCAAGTTGAGGATGAAAGTTAGACAGTGCTGAGTAAATTACAGAGGAAGGGGAAACGTCTCCTTGCAGGACTTTGTAATTACAAGTTCCAAACAGTAAAAGAAAATACTTCCTCATTACAAACTAAGCATTATAATCCAGACATCACAGTCTAACAACATTCCCATTAGATCTAAGCTAAAACAGCAAGACCTTTTCAAGGGGTTGTGTATGGTCAACACAGAGGAAATGTCATGCCTAAACTGACATTTAAATGTGTCTGTTTGACTTGGCTCATCAAAATAGATGGATGACATCAGAAGGGGAGGAGTCATAGGTAAAAAAAATAAAATATATATAGATATTTTCTTCTAAATCTCAGGAAAACAAATCCATGGAGGTTGATGTTGTGGGCAGGGTGTCATGTGATAGCCTAACACTGGGTGGTTGGCATGACAACCGGTAAGGAACGAAAAGACCCAGCAAGATTCACCTCATGAATGAAAACAACTGACACCATTACAAGCATTCCGCTACACCCGCAATAACATCTGCTAAACACGTGTACGTGACAAATAAAATTTGATTCGATTTGAACATGTACTAGGGACACTCACCTAATGGGCCTGTAGGGATTCGTGGCTAAACCTAGGCTGCAGCCAGCCAGTCAGCTTTTAAAACCACTCCTGGTCAGTGGAGGTGGAAGGCACCACCCAAATGTTATTATTACTGTACTACCTTTATCACTACGGGGTAGAGCAGAGGCAATAAAGATGAACATACTCCCTAGACTCTCGTTCCTTATGTCAGCTATACCACTTCAGTTCCCTCAGTACTGGTTTAAAGAGATACGTAGTTTCTTTTCTGGCTTATTGTGTAAAGATAAGAAACCAAGAAGCAAGGGTGGATTAGGTGTTCCTGATGTTTATTTGTATTACTTGTCTTACAATGCAAGATAACCATTGTCATGGGGTTATACAAATGGGAGAATAGTAGGCAGCTGGGAGTGGTTAGAGGACCAAATTGTAACAGAAGATAGCAATTTGATCTCCATATCATCATTATGGTATTAGCTCAAGTTCCACTGTAAAATAGATAATCCACTACTTGAGTTTTCATGTGAAGTGGCAAAGATACTACCTGCCCCAATGCATAGCGCCAACTGTAAAGTTTGGTGGTACGAGTCAAGCCTGGGGGGGTTCACAAACAAATACAGACAGTTCATATATTAGGCTATGCTTTTTGATATACATATGTTCCTATAATGTCCCAGAGACCCTCTAGACCATTGTCATAGTCCTGAAGGGCCGACGCCGCTTGTTCCATAGTCAATAAATCCATGAATTTCCTTAACCAAATTTCCAATGCCGTAGCATTGCGCATTACGCTCTTTCCAATTCATAAGTATTGTTCGTTTGACTGGCAGGAAGGCCAATGCAATGATGCGTTGCGTGGTTCTAGGTTGGATATTGTCCAACCTACTTCCTAACAGGCACACTACAGGACAAAGTGGAATACATACATTCAAAATTCCAGACAACATATCATCTACCTCGGTCCAAAATCTTTTGACAGCTGGACATTTCCATAACAGATGCATTAGAGTGTACCAACCTCACCGCAGACATAACACCACAAATCTGAAAGGCTTTGATTCATTTTTTTCAACCTGTGAGGTATAATATAAGCCCTATGCAAAACCTTAATTTGATTAATTTGTGTTTTTCCGTATTGCATCGCACTGTACTGCGGTCAGAGATGCACCAAAGTCCTGTTCCCAACGTAACCGAGTAAGGATGTTGCTGTTTGGGGGGGAGAGACCAACAAGCTTGTATAAGGCGGAAACCATTCCTTTCCCATTATCAGCACCCCTCTCTTTGTTGTCTATCACACTTTTAGATCCCACATAAATACCCTTTGAGAAATAAATTGTATTATTGATTTGAGCTGCAAATAGGGTAGAAATTCCATATCATTCAGGCCAAACTCTGCTATCAACCCTTAAAATGGTTTGATATCACCATCCCTTATGACCTGCCACACCTTAAATCAAATCACATTTTATTGGTCACATACACGTGTTTAGCAGATGTTATTGCGGGTGTAGCGAAATGCTTGTGCTTCTAATATCTAAAAAGTATTATCTAACAATTTCACAACATATACCCAATCCACACAAATCTAAGTAAGGAATGAATTAAGAATGTATACATATATGGACAAGCGATGTCAGAGCGGCATGGACTAAGATACAGTAGAATAGTATAGAATACAGTATATACATCGCGGCTGAGCCATTGTTGCTCCTAGATGTTTCCACTTCACAATAACAACACTTAAAGTTGACCAGGGCAGCTCTAGCAGGGCAGAAATTTGACAAACTGACTTGTTGGAAAGGTGATCTATGACGGTGCCACGTTGAAAGTCACGAGCTCTTCAGTAATGCCACTCTGCCAATGTTTGTCTATGGAGATTGCATGGATGTGTGTTCAATTTCATACACCTGTCAGCAATGGGTGTGGCTAAAATAGCTGAATTCACTAATTTGAAGGGGTGTCCACATACGTTTGTATGTACAGTGGGGAAAAAAAGTATTTAGTCAGCCACCAATTGTGCAAGTTCTCCCACTTAAAAAGATGAGAGAGGCCTGTAATTTTCATCATAGGTACACGTCAACTATGACAGACAAAATGAGAAAAAGAAATCCAGAAAATCACATTGTAGGATTTTTTATGAATTTATTTGCAAATTATGGTGGAAAACAAGTATTTGGTCAATAACAAAAGTTTCTCAATACTTTGTTATATACCGTTTGTTGGCAATGACACAGGTCAAACGTTTTCTGTAAGTCTTCACAAGGTTTTCACACACTGTTGCTGGTATTTTGGCCCATTCCTCCATGCAGATCTCCTCTAGAGCAGTGATGTTTTGGGGCTGTCGCTGGGCAACACGGACTTTCAACTCCCTCCAAAGATTTTCTATGGGGTTGAGATCTGGAGACTGGCTAGGCCACTCCAGGACCTTGAAATGCTTCTTACGAAGCCACTCCTTCGTTGCCCGGGTGGTGTGTTTGGGATCATTGTCATGCTGAAAGACCCAGCCACGTTTCATCTTCAATGCCCTTGCTGATGGGAGGTTTTCACTCAAAATCTCACGATACATGGCCCCATTCATTCTTTCCTTTACACGGATCAGTCGTCCTGGTCCCATTGCAGAAAAACAGCCCCAAAGCATGATGTTTCCACCCCCATGCTTCAGAGTAGGTATGGTGTTCTTTGGATGCAACTCAGCATTCTTTGTCCTCCAAACACAACGAGTTGAGTTTTTACCAAAAAGTTATATTTTGGTTTCATCTGACCATATGACATTCTCCCAATCCTCTTCTGGATCATCCAAATGCACTCTAGCAAACTTCAGACGGGCCTGGACATGTACTGGCTTAAGCAGGGGGACACGTCTGGCACTGCAGGATTTGAGTCCCTGGCGGCGTAGTGTGTTACTGATGGTAGGCTTTGTTACTTTGGTCCCAGCTCTCTGCAGGTCATTCACTAGGTCCCCCTGTGTGGTTCTGGGATTGTTGCTCACCGTTCTTGTGATCATTTTGACCCCATGGGGTGAGATCTTGCGTGGAGCCCCAGATCGAGGGAGATTATCAGTGGTCTTGTATGTCTTCCATTTCCTAATAATTGCTCCCACAGTTGATTTCTTCAAACCAAGCTGCTTACCTATTGCAGATTCAGTCTTCCCAGCCTGGTGCAGGTCTACAATTTTGTTTCTGGTGTCCTTTGACAGCTCTTTGGTCTTGGCCATAGTGGAGTTTGGAGTGTGACTGTTTGAGGTTGTGGACAGGTGTCTTTTATACTGATAACAAGTTCAAACAGGTGCCATTAATACAGGTAACGAGTGGAGGACAGAGGAGCCTCTTAAAGAAGAAGTTACAGGTCTGTGAGAGCCAGAAATCTTGCTTGTTTGTAGGTGACCAAATACTTATTTTCCACCATAATTTGCAAATAAATTCATAAAAAATCCTACAATGTGATTTTCTGGAGAAAAAAAATCTCGATTTGTCTGTCATAGTTGACGTGTACCTATGATGAAAATTACAGGCCTCTCTCGTCTTTTTAAGTGGGAGAACTTGCACAATTGGTGGCTGACTAAATACTTTTTCCCCCCACTGTATATACAGTGTGTGTGTATATATACACACACACACATATATATATATACACACACACACACACACACACACACACACACACGTTACTGTTGAGGAAAAACTTGTTCCAAGGATCAGGCAGAGCTCATTTTCCAGTTTATAAGAGTTTTATACAAGCAATTGGCAGGAAGTTCCCTCTCAGGATAAAGCCAGAGAGTAACTTAATTATTTACAAGTCGCACAGTCTTTATATATTTCATCTACACAAAGAGCTGTTTACCCCTCAAATGCGGTGACTCTGCACCGGTACCCCCCTGTATATATAGCCTCCCTACTGTTATTTTACTTCTGCTCTTTCTTTCTCAACACTTTTTTGTTGTTGTTTTATTTTAATTTTTTTATTAAAAAATGAATGCATTGTTGGTTAAGGGCTGTAAGTAAGCATTTCACTGTAATGTCTACACCTGTTGTATTCGGCGCATGTGGCCAATAACATTTGATTTGATTTGATTTGAAGAGATAAGGGGCAATTGGCTCTACTTCCTTAAAAGAATAGTACTAACATGAACATGTTCTAACCAGTTCTCACAGCCTACGTGTCTAAGATTAAGTCATTAAGTTTGCCGATGACACAACAGTGGTAGGCCTGATCACCGACAACGATAAGACAGCCTATAGGGAGGAGGTCAGAGACCTGGCAGTGTGGTGCCAGGTTAACAAACTCTCCTTCAACCTGATCAAGACAAAGGAGATGATTGTGGACTACAGGAAAAAGAAGAGGACCGAGCACGCCCCCATTCTCATTGACAGGGCTGTAGTGGAGCAGGTTGAGAGCTTCAAGTTCCTTGGTGTCAACATCACCAACAAACTAACATGGTCCAAACACCAAGACAGTCGTGAAGAGGGCACGACAAAGCCTATTCCCGCTCAGGAGACTGAAAAGATTTGGCATGGGTCCTCAGATCCTCAAAACGTTATACAGCTGCACATTCGAGAGCTTCCTGACTGGTTGCATCACCGCCTGGTATGGCAACTGCTCGGCCTCTGACCGCAAGGCACTACAGAGGGTAGTGCGTACAGCCCAGTACATCACTTGGGCCAAGCTTCCTGCCATCCAGGACCTCTATTTCAGGCGGTGTCAGGGCAAGGCCCTAAAAATTGCCAAAGACTCCAGCCACCCTAGTCATAGACTGGTACCGGAGCGCCAAGTCTAGGTCCAAAAGGCTTCTTGACAGCTTCCACCCCCAAGCCATAAGACTCCTGAACAGCTAATCAAATGGCTACCTGGACTATTTGCATTGTCCCCCCACCCCCTCTTTTTACACTGCTGCTACTCTCTGTTTATTATCTATGCATAGTCACTTTACCTCTACCCACATGTACATATTACCTCGACTAACCTGTGCCCCGTCACATTGACTCTGTACCCCCTGTATATAGCCTCACTACTGTTATTTTACTGCTGCTCTTTAATTAATTATTTGTAATTTTTCTTATTTTCTTTAATTATCTATTTTTTACTTAACACTTATTTTTCTTAAAACTACATTGTTGGTTAAGGGCTTGTAAGTAAGCATTTTACTGTAAGGTCTATTTGACAAATACAATTTGATTTGAGATAGGGGAGTGATAAGATATTTAAAGCCTAAACAGAGGAAACTAGATTTCCGCCTGGCTTTTAGTCCCTAAAGATAATCAGCCAGTAACAAATCACTCCTCTGTGCGGTATGTAAAGAGGTTACTGAACAGAATGGAAAATTACCAGTTGAATAGTATTATTCAACTCAAGCATTTACACAGCATTAGACTAACAAAACAATTTTGCTCCAACATTACAGACTGACTTAGACCAACCATATGCTTTAGACCCCCCTCTATGTTACTGACTGACTGTTTCCATTCAGTGCTCAGCTGATGCACTGCTGGAAATCCATGCAGCTTAACATCTTTGTTGAGAGTCAATAAACCAAATTGTAGCAGATCTAGTCTGAATCTTGTCACATTAATCCAGATGAGTAGCTGCAATAAATGTTCTCTTGATAGGCCTATATCTTGGACCTACTTTGTACAACGCATGGGTCACCACATGCACTGAGCAGTTCTGAGTTTACAGTTCTTGACAGAAATTTGAGGGCAGCTTAGATGTCACAAACAACACATATGCACACAGGAAGCGATATGAATTTAACTACAATATCACGAAGCTGAGGTAGCCAGCCAATCATAGTTGAGCGTGGTGACATCAATCTCTGGGCTCTGACTTGGCTCTGTCCTAGTCAGCAGCGAGGAGAGAACCAGAGCCATAATCATAGAGGCTGATGTCTGGAGATGCCAACCCACAGATAGGCAGTGGTTTCTGGGAGAAGCCAGGTTCAGAGCCATGAGACAGAGCCCTCATCCAGCCTCTCTATTCCAGACCTGGGTTCAAATATTATTTGAAATCATTTAAAATACGTTGCATATGCTTTATTGAGCTTGCCTGTCTTAACGGACCAATACAGTAGTGCCAAAACTGCCCACCCTGCCAATCTGGCACTCCAGGCAGGCTGGCGCAATCACTCAAAGTATTTGAAATATTTCAAAACAGTATTGGAACCCAGGTCTGCTCCATTCATTTACCCCCCTCGAGGGAAGCGGCAGCAGCCAGTTGAATCTCCTCATCCCTGGAGCTCTGAATGTTCTGCCTTATTTGAGACATCTACATTCTTCAGTGATGTGATTTATTAATTGGTCAACTCAGGGCTTTGTGGTGAGGTTGCTGTATCTGTGCTGCTGTTTTTGAGGCCAGGGCTAACATGAATAGGCTAAGCACAGGCTCTAGCAGTGAGTTAAGGAACAATGAATGATGTATCTGCAGATTGCTTAAGTGCACACTTTGTGTTTGTCTAAGCTAAGTGTAAACATGCACTTTTAGGGAGAGGGAAGCTGTGGGAACAACACAGCTGAACCACAACATTGAGACTGGAGGCAGCTGGGGCAAAACCCAGTTACACAGTCAAATGCATTTGAATGTTAGCGTATATTCAAGCATAATCTGAGTGTCAAATACATTGAAAATATATTAATGATATAACTCAGTTATGACTAAACCCAGTTTAACACTTGACGAGGGGGAACTTACATAGATCTCATTGTGGTCGAAGCGTTTCCTCAGGTTCTCGATGAAGGAGTCTTCGTTGAGGGTTTCTAGCAGGACCATGTCTCCCACCCCTATCATGTTGTCCAGAAGTGACATCTTCACCTCCATCTTGGAATCAGCAGTCCCCCCTGTAAAGAAGAATAACAAATGGAATACATTAGACACAGGCAGTGATTTGAAAACAAGAGAACGGGGGGTGAACATGGATGTGGGTACGATATTGGTAGCAAAAGTAAGTAGCCGCTATAGATTACATTATCTGCAATCTGTTAGTCAATGCATCAACTCTAGAACTTCAGTCATGAACGGTTTAGGTGAACTCCTATAAAGATTAGGCACTCATCCTCATGCAGTGGTAATCTAATCTGGAATAGTGATGCATATGAGGGCTTGATGGGCAGTCCACCATCTTATACTAGTCCATAGTCCAATAGTAGTCCAGCTGTGGTCTGTCTGGAGTGTTCATGTCAAGGACAGTCAGTGCCCCTCCCCGACCCCCAGAGTCAGCCCAGCCCACCATCCATCCCCCTACCCATATATATCCCCCTCCAGACCAGATAGCATGCTCCCTGCTGATCCAATCGCTGTAATCCCCTCACATTAACTTGCCTCATCCAGGTCCATCATGACCCGATCATGTAGGTTCATGCTCTACAACATTCGGAGAGTACGACCCTGCCTTACACAGGAAGCGGCACAGGTCCTAATCCAGGCACTTGTCATCTCCCGTCTGGATTACTGCAACTCGCTGTTGGCTGGGCTCCCTGCCTGTGCCATTAAACCCCTACAACTCATCCAGAATGCCGCAGCCCGTCTGGTGTTCAACCTTCCCAAGTTCTCTCACGTCACCCCGCTCCTCCGCACACTCCACTGGCTTCCAGTTGAAGCCGGCATCTGCTACAAGACCATGGCGCTTGCCTACGGAGCTGTGAGGGGAACGGCACCTCCGTACCTTCAGGCTCTGATCAGTCCCTACACCCAAACGAGGGCATTGCGTTCATCCACCTCTGGCCTGCTGGCCCCCCTACCTCTGCGGAAGCACAGTTCCCGCTCAGCCCAGTCAAAACTGTTCGCTGCTCTGGCACCCCAATGGTGGAACAAGCTCCCTCACGACGCCAGGACAGCGGAGTCACTCACCACCTTCCGGAGACACTTGAAACCCCACCTCTTTAAGGAATACCTGGGATAGGATAAAGTAATCCTTCTAACCCCCCTTACCCCACCCAAAAAAAAAAAAAAAAAACATATTGTAAAGTGGTTATCCCACTGGCTATAAGGTGAATGCACCAATTTGTAAGTCGCTCTGGATAAGAGCGTCTGCTAAATGACGTAAATGTAAATGTATTTGACTTATTCAAAAGGCTGTCTTAGACTGCTCTATATACTGTAAAATTCGTGCCTATAGACTACTAGTCTAGATAACTAGTTTTCCCAGCTTGATGGCCCCAACTTTGTGCTGTACAGTGTGAGACAGGTAAAAACTTTCCCAAAAATGTTGACAGTCACAGCATGTTGCAGTGAGTTATCACACTATGCCAATATTACAAGTCACCTTTGAAGAAAATAACCCAAACCAACCCAGAAGCCCATGTTTGTGTGTAGTGCTTGTTTCTGCTGATCTAAAGAGCTGGGTTAGCAAGGGAGAACTGAACAATAGACGATGAGCACATCGCTTCACCCCAGCCCATCTGTTACAACAGCACAGAGTTCGGGGTACAGCAAAGCCCCGTATCAAGGCCTCTCTCTTTATCTCCGTCCCTATAGCGCTAGGATTAGTGTCCACAGGAGATGGGAAATATTGGCGGAAAACTGCCACCCCCAGCAGTGTCTGTCTCCTGCTTTCTGGTTCGGATCTCTCCCCTTTCTAAATATTACCCCCGGTTCGCTGTTCAAGTAGCTGGGACAGAAAGGTATTAGTTGCAGAGCGTTCCCCAGGTTTCGCAGCTCTGAGGCCATTGGAACTGTATGACTCTGGGTCGGGTCTTTATGTTCAGATGATGAACGGGGGGCTCTGTGCGTCCCACAAATGGCACCATATTCCATATAGTGCACTACTTTTGACCAGAGCCCTCTGCACTATAGAGCAACGATTCTCAACTGGTGGGTTACGACCCAAAGGTTTTGAATGGTTGGGGGTATTTTTATTTATTTATGACAAAATACTCCATTCTGAACTTTAACTAATTAAACCAGGTATATCAATCAATCAAATGTATTCATAGCCATTTTTACATCAGCAGATGTCACAAAGTGCTATACAGAAACCCAGCCTAAAACCCCAAACAGCAAGCAATGCAGATGAAGAAGCACGGTGGCTAGGAAAAATTCCCTAGAAAGGCAAAAACCTAGGAAGAAACCTAGAGAGGAACCAGGCTTTGAGGGGTGGCCAGTCCTCTTCTGGCTGTGCCGGGTGGAGATTTTAACAGTACATTAAGGCCATATTTTTCTCCAAGATGTTCAAACGATTATAGATGACCAGCAGGGTCAAATAATAATCACAGTGGTTTTGTAGAGGTTGCAACAGGTCAATACATCAGTATAAAGTGTGTAGAAATGATAATTAACTTTAATCTCTGAACAAGTTTTCTTCAATCACAGTATTTTCAATATAGAGCTATTAGCAGCACTATTTTCGTTGATTTTGTAGTCTCAAGACAGTGAGTTTAACATTTTTCATTAAGAATATGGGCAACATTTTATTATTGAAAATTAAAGAGGTGGGATTGTTGTTCCCTTGTCATATAATTGCTACATTTACTATCAATATAGCATTAAAAATAGTTTTCCAGATTGCATTTTGCCAATTATTTTTTCGCCATTGCGAATATTGAGTAGCAACTGAGACAACATGGTTCAATTTGGGTCCAGTTGAGAACAAACCACTGCTATACAGAATAGGGTGCTCTTTGGGACGTAGCCTCTGAGGAGCAAACCCAACCCCCCCTCTCTCAAGCCAAGTGGATGTCCATGGTCCACCGGGAGGTCAAGTGCGAGGTCCGTTCTTCCATTACATAATTCCCTGAGGAACCTCTCAAGTCCACTGTGTGCCGAGTCGCGAGGTTTGAACAGGCATTGCGCAAGCAGCCAATCAAACGGCCCCAAACCAAACAGTCGCTGAACAAGCACGTCCCGCAGTGTATATTTGAGATGGCTATGTTTAGAACTGTTTGTTATTGGCTGTTCAAGAGCTCCTCTGGAGCCCTCAGGCCATTGGGATTAATGGACTTCTGGTTCCACAAAGACTGCAGTTTTCGTTTGAAACGAAAACACAACTCCTGCTGACTTTCCTGACCAGGGCCCATATTAATAAAGCATCTAATTCCCTTAAAAGGCTAAACTGATCATAGATCAGCACTCGTACTTTTAGATACTTTGTAAATACGGGCCCAGAACTATATAAGTAATAATAAATAATAATAATATGCCATTTAGCAGACGCTTTTATCCAAAGCGACTTAGTCATGCATGCATACATTTTTGTGTATGGGTGGTCCCGGGGATCGAACCCACTACCCTGGCGTTACAAGCGCCGTGCTCTACCAGCTGAGCTACAGAGGACTAAGTGAGCAGCGTCTGTATAGTAGACTTCTCCAGGTGCATGTAATGCAAGGAGATGAAGCTTAATTCATTGTGATAGTACCCTGTTTACAACATTTTCCAACATCTTGGGGAAACCCTATTGGCTCCAGAAATCTAACTGCTCCTTCGAGAAAAACAGGTTTATTTTCTTCAATGCATAGGAACAGGGAGAGTTCTGTTGAAAACTGGACTCCCTGAATGTGTACCCCATCTCAGACTTTCTCTAGCTTCTGTTCTGCTGGAGGGCACAATGTTCTGAGGCTATAAAACTCTTCTTAGTAGGACACAAGCTTCCACAGTCCAAACCCACATAACTTACTCCATGTAACACACACACACAGTAAAAACCTTTGAAGATATGTGAAAGAGCTCAAGGATTCACAGGTAAAACTGGTAACATTCTGTCCCATTTTATGCTGAGGAAATATCTTAGAACTTAATTTATTCATCTCATACATTCAATACGTTGGCGCCGTGTATACATTTTCACAAATATTAAGACTTCTATTCTGTGATAAACTAGTTTCACCGCTAAACCCATTCTATTGACCTAGTTTTCATTACTGTAATATTGAAAATGTAAGCCTTGTGGTGGTCTTCTGTCAGTCACTGTTAGCCTACCTGTTCACAGTAGATTGGATGGGAAAATATGGGACAACAGCAGAGTGGTTTGCCTCAGTTTAAAACAGGCGGACCCTCTCAGACTAATTGAGGAAATAATAATCCACAAATGAATTTAGAGCAGGAAGGTAACATTAACAACGGGAAGGACCCCACTGCACCTGGCAGTAGCTGGCTGTAGCTAAACAACAGCTGGCTCTGGTTGTAGCTGAGAAACAAGCCACAGCTGCTCTGGGCCGTGTTCATTAGGTACCAAATGGAAGAACAGACAAACGAGAAGGGACTACCTGAACACTTGTTTTTTTCTTGCAACACATTTTGCTACGACATGTCCTAATGAATAAAACCGTAGCTGAATGTAAATGAAACAGGCCACGGCTGCTGTGGATGGTACTGCCTAGTCTGGATGTATACTATACAGCTGCTCATTTATGGGCCATACCTTTGGGATTAATTAGAATATCAGAGACTGTCATCACCCACCACCATGGGCCTGCATAAAGAAAGAGAGGCAGAGCAAGAGAGAGGGGGAGAGAGAGGCATATAGAGAAAAGGAGAGAGGCATATAGAGAGAGACCGGGAGAGCGAGAGAGAGGCATAGAGAAAGAGAGGGAGAGAGTGAGGATAGAGAGAGGGAGAACAAGAGAGAGGCATAGAGTTAGAGGGGGAGGGCATAGAGAGACTGTTGCTAGCCAGATAGCCACAAAGAATTGACATTACATTTGACATTTTAGTCATTTAGCAGACGCTCTTATCCAGAGCGACTTACAGTTAAGTGAGTGCATACATTTATTTTTTATTTTTTTCATACTGGCACCCCGTGGGAATCGAACCCACAACCCTGGCGTTGCAAGCACCATGCTCTACCAACTGAGCTATACGGGGCCCACATCTACCTTGCATAGCATTCGTTTTAGGTCATTTTTGC